TCTTTTCAAGCAAGTTTTCATAAACCTTCTGTGATGTAGAGTTTTTTTTATGATTGACATTTGTCGAATTGATGTGAGAGGATGTCAGTATTTTGTCATCATCCTCATGATTTTTGAGCAGAACGCTTTTTTAGATTATGTAATATCAAATCAACATCCTCTCGATCGATATTCGTGGAAATAGCGCTAAATTCATATCCATTTCGTTATATTGCGTGTTGTCGGTAACCTTTCATACAAATCATATCGCTGGGATTTTATCTCGTTGTTATAAATTATTGTAGAATCCACATATTCTCGTCTTGTACTGTCAATTAGAATCTTCGTCTTTGTTGTTGGTGAAATTTTGCTGAAGTTTCGATAACGAAATGATGAGGAGTAAAAACCCGCAACACAGAAACGCGAATTTTTTACAACATTACTTCACAAAGGATACACTGGAAGAATTGTATAGTGAAATCAATCAAACTCCTGTTAGTACATTATTTTTCATATAAAGTGTAATTTTTAATAATTAAAAACATCCATATTTATTTTGTGTCTACTTTACTTTGTACCAATCAAATGAAAAATATGTATCAAATGCGTAATATACACATATAATGAAATTAAATAATCTTTTTATCTTTCTCTACAAAATGTAGAAATATTATTCTGATTTTATTCTAAAAATGTTAATGTAGAAGATTACGCGGTTAATTTTTAATTATTACACTAGATTTAGTACATATATATAATGTATCACTATATTCGGCTTTGACGTTACTTTTCTTGAAAGAAGAGTATATTGTATAAGTTATACGTGTTTGTACGAGACGGAAATGAAACTACCAAGAATGACGATGGATAACTTTGCGAGGAAACACACACACACAATGTTATCTACTATTATAAAATTATACACCTATAACTCTTAATTGTACAGAAAAGAAATATCGTACTCTGAAACTTCTGATGTTAGTTTGATAAAAAACAGATAATTGTATATTGTCAGTCTCAATTAAAAACAAGGTTGTTAGTAATTGACCAAACTGACCATAGATGAATAGTAAACTAATATAAAAATTAAAAAAAAATAAAATTTTAGTTAAAAAAACTGGGCGCGTTGCTAAGTTTCAAATTACAATGCACCTTAAAGTTACATAAATTAATTTAACTACAAATATATCTTAACTGCAATACGTTTTAAAGTAACAAATAATTTAGTTTCAATATCATTAGGATATCATTTAGCAGCGCACCAAGTTTTTTTAACTAAAATTTATTTTTTATAAAACCAAATTAGGCAGGAATTTATGATCAACACCGGCTAATTTAAATTTCTTTTATTAGAAAAGAAACGACGTTTCGACCATCAATTAGGTCCTCTTCAGGCTATAAAATTACATAATACATTTCGGTAATACAATAAATAAAATAAAAACAATAAAAAAAATCAGTGAATAATCGATGTATAAGAGAACTCAAAATTATAATAAATATACATAAATACCTATTGAATTAAAATACATATTCCAATCAACGAATGATCAGGTAACTGTCAGTTGTAACACAGCAGAATGACATTCTTAAAAGTGAAAAAGAGAGAACCGATAGTTCGCACTGACATGTAAATTGACACTGTAACAACATCGACAGTATTTCGCAAATAAGTCCGATTATAAAAGTAAAACAGATTCTCGTGAATAATTGTTATCCATTGGGTTTAATTAACTCAATTATTAGCAAAAGATTACATCAATTACATTTAAAATCATTTGATGGTCACCCACAAGGAGGTAGGAATGCATATGTCACTTCTAATATTCTGTTTTCCTTATGTCAAAGGCTTGAGTGAGGATGTGCAAAGAATTTTAAAAAGAGGAGGGTTAAAAGTTTTGTTCAAGGTTAATAATAAATTAGACAAATTGATTATAAAAGGAAAGAATAGACTTCCAATTGGCAAAAGAACTAATGTTGTATATAAGATCTCCTGTATTGATTGTGATTCTTGTTACATTGGGCAAACCAAACGTCATTTAGAAACTCGAATCAGAGAGCATAACTTCGATATTAAAAAACATGAAACATGCCATTCGGTTATCAGTAAACATAGAACCTTTTTTAAACATGAATTTGACTGGTCAAATGTGTCCATCTTACACAACGAGGCACATATAGGTAAAAAAGAGAGAGATAAGTGAGATGATTTTTATTAAAAAACAGATAAACTCTATTAATTTGCAAAAGACACTGATAACCTAAATGACAATGTACAACGATATTCTTGATTTACTTTAAATAAATATATTTTATTTAATTGTTATTGTTAAATTGTTAAATTGTTTAAATTAAATTATTAATTTGGATCCTTGTCGCTTATATTTTTTTTATTTATTATGATTTTTATTTATTTTATTTATACTTTATAAAATTTATTGTATTTATTGTTTTTAACCTTCCATAAAAATGTTTATATTGCTTTCATGTTTATATATTGTTTTTGTATTAAAACTTATGAGACGACTTTCAATTCTATATTTTATAATCGGACTTATTTGCGAAATACTGTCGATGTTGTTACAGTGTCAATTTACATGTCAGTGCGAACTATCGGTTCTCTCTTTTTCCACTTTTAAGATTGTCATTCTGCTGTGTTACAACTGACAGTTACCTGATCATTCGTTGATTGGAATATGTATTTTAATTTAATAGGTATTTATGTATATTTTATTATAATTTAATTCTCTTATACATCGATTATTTACTGATATTTTTATTGTTTTTATTTTATTTTTTTATTGTATTACCGAAATGTATTATGTAATTTTATAGCCTGAAGAGGACCTAATTGATGGTCGAAACGTCGTTTCTTTTCTAATAAAAGAAATTTAAATTAGCCGGTGTTGGTCAATAAATTCCTGCCTAATTTGGTTTTTTAAAATTAACTGGCGATCATATCACGTTATTCTTGTTTATTTTTTATATTTATATTAATTTACTAGTTCATTATACGACTCTATTGTTACGTCCAACTCAAGAAAGGAGAATCAGAGGAAGGACGTAACTACTGTTATTATCGAACGACCTCGAACGGTGCGTCTGTTCGACCCGAACGAACGTGCGAAGGTCCAAATAGGTCAACGACCGAGCAGGTCGTTATTACTCTATTTAAAAGGCTGTTCGTCGGAGGTCCCTTTTGGCAAGAGAATTTAACTCTTTTGCTCGGGATGGGATCTTGTGCGACTTCTGGTTTGGGAAGGAATAAAAATGAGAATTTTTTTATTTAGTTAATTATATAGAGCTAAATTCATAATTAAAGATTAGATTTATTTTATCATACCAAGAAGAAAAAAGTTTATACATAAGAAATATTAAATTTACAGATCTTAACTCTACGCAAATCGTACATAAAGTGCGTGTGCGTGTGAGTGTGTGTGTGTGTGTGTGTGTGTGTGTGTGTGTATGATTCGCGGGTGATACATGAGAAAAAGTGTTAATATTCCGATTGGATCTTACAATAAGAGCTTAATAATAAAAATAATAATAATAATAATAATTAATACTATACGTGTAAATAGTTGTGTGAGAGAGGTCATGGGGAATCGCAAGTTTTGGAAGAGAGAAGAGGGAGGAAACGTTTAAAAAATTCTACAGGACATCCAGAGGAGCTGGGCAATTCGGGATAACAAAAGGAATGAGGGTGCCATGAGAAAGGGGAAAATAAAATAAAATAATAAAATACAAAAAGGGAAAGGAAGGTTGAGAGAGGAAAAACCATGGATCTCTCCGCTAGTGTGGAAATCCACTATGATTCTAGAAGGAGGTGAGAAAACCACGGATCTCTCAGTAATTTAGGAATCCACTGTGGTTTTCGAGGGAGAGAAGAAAACACACGGATCTCTCTGCTAGTGCAGAAATCCACTATGATTTTGAAGGAAGTAAAAGAGATAAAGGGAGATGCTGACTTATTAAAATCAGAAAAGAAAAGGAAACACATTTATAAGTATCTCAATTTGAGGTCTAAGAATTATTTGGGAAGTAACGAGTAATTATTGAAGGGACTTACTATTTATTGAGAGCGATGTTAACTCCTCCTTCTCCATTGGTTTGTTAATATTTCCCAACAAATAGGAGGATTTTCAATGACGCCCTTTAGGTCCGGAGGCGTCTCTTTGACTTTTGAAAATTAATACAATTGGCTTTGGTTAAGGCTTTTATTTAGAGCCTTAGGTTTCGACCAATAGAATTTGTTCTTATCAAGGAAGGTTGATATGTTTATAGCTTGTGACTTAAACAGATATCGCTGATCTGTCGGGCGAGGATTGTTTAGAGTTACTCTTTGAAAATTTTATTAGTTCTCGAGTGGTTCGTTGAAGAGAACAGTGGGTTATAGTTTTATATTTTCTTAGGCACAAAGATTGTTTTGCCTCGCCTGTCACATCGTGGCTTATCTGCGGGTCTGCGATATTTTGAATATTGCTTTACGTTCTCCGAAAGAAAAGAATCATGGAGACCGCAGGACGTAACACTATACATGATTGCAATTTTATTTTAAGTTTCTACTTTTACTTGGCGCATTTTTTTTGATATCATTACTTTTGTAGTAAGATTCTACATGGGTTCACAATGGATAATTTTTTATACAATTCTACATGGGTTTGCAATGGTTTATTTTGCATAGAATTCTACATGGGTTTGCAATGATTAATGTTTCATAGAATTCTACATGAGTTTGCAATGATTAATGTTTTATAGAATTCTATATGGGTTTGCAATGAGTAATTTTTGTTACTGGTTGTATATAATCGGCAATAATAGTCGTACATGTTAAATTAAAATTTATTGTAAAATACAAACGACACTTTTCTCTTTAACTTAGTACTTTATGTGCGAGTTATGTTAAATTTTTTAAACTAACATTTAATAATTGTTTTTTACATATCAAAAATATGTTTATATATAATTACTATTAGATATTCTGCATTTTATAATGCGCAAATATTTAGATTTAAAAACAAAGAAAAATGTGTTAATATTATTATAAATTTAAATTCCAATTTCCAATACCTATATGAGCAAAAGTGCAGCAAGATAGAATCATTTTCCAGCATTCCCTAGAGAAATTAATCAAATTAAAATAATAAAAATTTTATTTTTATTATACAATTAAAATAATAAGAATATCAATTTCTTATTAGTTTTCTAATGAGTAAAAACATACCGTGTCGAAAGTGGCATCGGAATTAAATTAAAAATCTCTCGAATGCTCCCTGCTGGTCTACGATATTTTCTCGGTAAATGTATGTAGCTGATTTTTTACGTCTGCTACTGGAAAAACTGCAGAATAATGGCAGATACATTACTAATTTTATTACGTCGATGATAGAGATTGATTATAAATTATAAGAAAAGACTGACAAGTTTTTCTGACCTGCAGAACTTGCAAGTGATAGCTAAATATGACAATTATTTTTTTACGCACTATATTTATTATTATAATGAATTAGCCTTTTAATTAATTTTTATTAACCTGCAAGCAGAAAAAGATCAAAAATTAAAGTAGGTTAAATCGAACTTCTGTTTCTTTTCGAAGCAGAATGTGTAGATATTTCTATGAGAAAAAATCTACATCTATATTTTTAAAAACGATAAGTACAACATTCAATTTAAATTGCCAGCAATTATAAAATGTATTATTTAATATGCATTTGCAATTATTGTTAACTATTTGTAAGCAAAAAATCTAGAAAACATTATGTAATGATTTCATAATTAGATTGTTGCAATACCAGCTCAATCATTGTAAGATCGAAAAAATAAAATCATAGTTTGCAAGTCCATTAATCATACTATTCTCATTTTGTGTTTATTAATTTTATATTGTCATTTAAAGTCTAATTTTATATTTTTGTAATATATGTAATTAGATTAAGAATTATGTTTAATAAATGGCAACGTAGTTTGCGCTTATAATTTTTTGTTCTCTCTTTTGTTCTGCATTTGCACTGCGATCAAAATGTCAACGAATGTTTTACAATAATGTTTTATTAATCTTAATTAATCACTAATTCATCTTCTTTTTCCTTTGGTTTTTGGATCAACAGTTTAGCTGTTTTCCAGAAGATTCGCTTTTTTATTTTTTGACACCTTATTAAACGTTTTCTTTTAGAAAAGGATAAAACAACTTATATAGCACATGTTAATCTCATAATTTCTCAGTGTACCTAATGTTTTATAATAAATTGTCCAACACTAATAAGAAAAGTTTTGACAGAAATGTTTATAAAGTCATAATTTTCACAAACGTATATTTTACATTCTTACAGACAAAAAAAATTAATTTTTTAAATGTATTTATTTTTCTTTAAACTACTTTTTTATTCTATGTATAAAAGTTTTCATAAAATTTTGAATTTTTTAAAATAATATTTTGTTCCAAATATTTCAAAATTTGAGAATTTATATTTAAAAAATATATTTAAATAAGTTTTAACATTTGTAAAAAATATTTTATATAATAAATTGTGTAAATGGAAATTTGCACATTGCTTTCTCATCATATTATATCGTTAATTAGGACTTTACGATTTTATGGCTTTCTCATAGAGGAAGCTTAACTTGCACATTGTTTGATTACAATTTAAAATCCTCTTTTACAAGGAAGCTTTAATTGAAAAATTATTCTAATTAGCAACATAATATAGTGCAAAAGCAATGTGCAAATGGAAATTTGCACATTTATTTATTCTATGTACAAAGTTTGACTTACATGCAATTAAGTTAAATCAATAAGTCAGTCAATTAATCAATCTTTCTTTCTCTTGTTATCAGTGCTGTGCTTAGATAATTTTAAATTAGCTAGAAAAAGGAGACAAAAGTATGTTAATTTATCTTAGATAAAATAAAGATGATTTTATATTAAATGTATCTAGATAAAAGGTAAAATTATATACGACAATTCATCAAGTCAACTTTCAGCAAATATTATTTTAAAAACCGTTTATGTAAACACAATTATGAAAAAGTAAAAATTATAAAAGGAATGTAAAAATAGATCCATACTTTTATTTCTGAATTTATATTGCTTACTGCTTAAGTTCTAATGTACTAATTAAGTATTATTAGGTGCTATGATTCTAAATTATTCAAGTTATTTGAACATTATAAATAGATCCATTAATAGATACATTTTTTTATTTCTAAATTTTTATTGCTTACTACTTAAATTTTATTCTACTAATTAAGTATTTTCATGTGCTATTATTTTAAATCAGTCGAGTTATCTAAACATTATTCTAGTTAATTTGTAAAGATAATACTTTTTTTCATCTAAAATGCAGATAAAAATATAAATAATACATATTTTTAATATCTATATAAAAATAAAATAACGTTAAAATTTTAGCTAGATGATCTCATCTATATAATTTTATTCTTTTATTACTTACCACAACATTAATTACGCAGTCATCAAAACTATTTAATATTCCCGTGATAGATAACTTGACTATCAGTGATAGATCGATGAATTGTGTATCAATAGATTTATTTCGCGACCGTAATCACCCAACTTGGCAGACCGATATACGCCAATGAAATGCAGAAGTGTCTTAGCAAATGCGTCAGTTGAAGCGTGATTCTAGATGAAAGTATAATAGAATCGTGAATGATGGTAATGAAGTCTAAACAAAAAATAAGCACATGTGTACAAAGTTCAATTTGAAGCATTCTCACGTTTAAATGATGGATCTCGAAATACGTGTATATCCTTGAGAAGTTCTTTATTTATTATTTCGATGTGTGTGTATAGTTATTATTTAAATCTACATTGTGTATCAAAAAAGAATACGAGAAAAAAATCTAAAAAAAATAACGATATGAAACTTAACAAATATGTGCGTGACATAAAGTCGTAAAATAAATTCAAAAACGCCTTCAAACAAAAATATACGTAAAACGCAACATTAGAAATAGACAACTCATTATCATAATTTTTATTAGATTTTTATTATTTATTTTACACGGAAACGTATTTTTGACTAATTAAATTATCTTTAACATGTTAACAAACATTATATAAGTGCTATTATTGTATATCAATTAATTATAATTAATTTTTGTTCTTCCTGACAATTTTTTACACTATATTACATTACGTTGCATTTAAATTTTTAAATGAAAAGATGTATCCAAGATAATAGTCACAGGAAATTAAATTGCAAAGCAAGAAGTTTACAAAATGTGTGCGTGTAACATGTATTAATGAATCGTGTTAAATTAAATTAAATTTTTCAAGTTGACAATAATTTTTACTTTACATAGATTTATTTATCAATAACTTTCCAATAAACAGCAAGTACAATACAAATAATATTTATCTATTAATTATTATTTCTATTATTGACGTAACATTATTTCGTAGATGTAACATTATTTAAATTCTCATTTCTCATAATCTTAATAACTCTTTCGTACACGAGTTTTGGAGCATCCTTGGCCCATATAAAATCGACGTGATTGAAATTGGGCCATGGTACTTCATATAAGTCGATTACGTTGGGTAATATGCGATAGAGTCTCTTGATATTCTTGAAAAAATGATCTTGTAAATTTTCAGAAAATTTTCATATTTCTACACAGTAGAAAAATTTGTGTTTTTCTGTTAAACGGCCCCTGTTGAAATCTATTTTTTAAAAATATGTTTAATACCTTTATGTGTTAATTTAACATATTGGTGTTGTGTTAATTTGTTAATTTGTTAATTGTTAAAACGGGAAAAAATGTAAGAATAACACAATGTGCATCTATTTTCAATTTTAACCAATAAATATGCTCTATTTTATTAGTGACATGATTTATCTGTTAAAATTTACAAAATTAAATGTTGATTTTTTATTTGACAATATATTATAAGCGAGGATGATAAAATTTATAATTAACATATTTTTACATTAAAACTACGTTAATTTTACACAAGAATTATTTAAAATTAGTTGAAGCTTTGCACTTATTTTGTGTTGAAATATTAACACAGTATATTGTGCGTCTATTTGACATTATGTGGATATATGATATCTTAAATATAACACAAATTTTTCAACTGTGTACAGACAAGAAAAATTAATTTTTTTTAAATTAATTTATTCTTTCCCTCTCTTTCTATATTTTATTTGAACAAGCAGCTCTTTGTTATACTTACCACGCTCTTAATTAACAAATCTCCAGGAGCATAAAATAATGCGATAGGTAATGTGATATTTGTTAGATTATATTCCGGGGGTTCCGGCGAATTGTATAGCAATAGATTTTTCTCGCGACCGTAATTATATCGGCGAAACTTGCTTGACTGGTTTGTCTGAATAAAATGTAGAATAGTTTTAGCCGAGGTGCCAGCCGGATCGACGCCCAGGATTGCAGGCAGAAGAGTCTGAATAGAGGACATATAGACAAAGTTGTATTGGAAGCATGATTGTATTTAAAATAATGAAATGCGATGATCGAAGAATCATCTCGGAGTTGTATTTCGATGAGAAATCACTACTCACGTAGTTAAATTGTTCTTGATCATTTCCACAGAGCAGAAATATTGGGTTGGCACAGAACTGTTGCGTAATAAAATTCTGAGGGCAGATATATTTCGAAGTAAATCTCAAAACATCGTTTTGCGGCATAAATTCGTCATGAAAGTATAACCGCATGATCGCCTGTAATCAAAAATTTATATATGTATTTCTAATTCAAAATAATTTGAAAAATACTTTTTGCATTCTTTAAATAGAAAGAGTAACATTTAAAGAAATACAAAAAATTGTTCATATATAATCATATATAAATGTATATATGTAGCTATATTGGAAATGTTATCTCATTGTATTTTAATTTTGAAAATTAAAGAATACATTTTATTTTAAATCGTAAAAATATAAAATTATATTTCTTAAACTATGATTTCAAGCACATTTTCATGAAGACATTTCTCATTTGTATTTGATAATTATAAGACATTAGATTCCAATTTAAGAGACGTTTATGAAGCTACCTGAATTTTTTGTTTTGACAAAGGGATATTGTTTTGGACAGTTATTTTAATAATTTGTTATTTGGTAATAAATAATTTAATAATAATAAATAATAAATTAATTTTTAATTTAATAATAATAACAATAAATAATAAATGATTTTCTATTTTTGTATTTGCATACATTATTTTACCTTAAATTCTCTCCAGAAGGGAAAAATATATTTTATTGGACTCTCTATTTGGTCAAGAAAGACTGCCGGCGCAAAACTGATCATCTTTTGCACCATTTGTGCGATTTCCGGACGCTCTGATGCCATTATAAAGAAACTGCAAGCGCCCACTGAATGACCAATGAAAGTATGCAATGGTTGTGACGTCATATTTGTGATAAATGTAATCATCGCGGGTAAATCATAGATACCCGTTTCGTGAAAGCTGGTGAAATATTTGATTATATCTTAATTGTTATAAATATATATATATATATACTAGCTTTTCGGACCGCGCTTCGCGCGGTCCTCAAAGCCAGCCTTTCTATTCGGACCGCGCTTTGCGCGGTCCTCATATAGTCTATATTAAATCCGTTTTAACACAAAAAATTAATTCTTTTTTTGTATTACCGCGAACTACTTCCACATTTGTTGTTCGACTTTCACGAAATTTATACCAAAATAAATGTTTAAATTTTTTTGTGGATGACTACTATGTTATCTATTTTTTCTCCCAGATATTTTATTTTCTTTTTTTAAGACACGCTTTCTCTCTCTCTCACTCTAAAACACACGCGCTCCCTCTCTCTCTCTTTAAGACACATGCTCTCTCTCTCCTTATCTCTCTCCCTCCCTCTTTCTTTAAGACACACGCTCTCTCTCTCTCTCTCTCTCTCTCTCTCTCTCTCTCTCTGTGTATGTGTGTGGGGTTTTTTAAGTTTACGCTTTCACCTACGCATCCACCCACACAATCGCATATTTATGAACGGATTTTTTAAAAAATTGGTACCAAAATGTTGCAAATTTTTGGCGACGATGTGGTTTTTTCAAGTGTTACACCTCCACCCACACGCATGCGCATTTATGGACCAATTTTCACGAAATTAGTACCAAAATGTTGCAAATTTTTCTGAGAAAGCTGCTGTGTGGTTTTTTTAAGTTTTATCCCACCCACGCATGCATCCACGCATTCACACATTTATTCACATACTTTTTTGAAATTTGTAGTTAAATTTTGTTGGAGATGGCTACTATGATTTTAACAAATTTTTATCATCCTATTCATCCACCCACGCACCCATGCACCCATTTGCATACGCATTTATTGACTTGGTCACACCAAGAAGTAATTTTTAAAAAATTTGTGTACGTATTTGTGATTATGTGTGCAATTCGTGTAAATAAACCTTTAATTTGTATGCAATTTTCACGAAATTAGTACCAAAATGTTGCAAATTTTTGCAATCACAAACATGTACACAAATTTATTTAAAATTACTTATTGGTGTGACCAAGTCAATAAATGCGTATGCACATGGGTGCATGGGTGCGTGGGTGGATGAATAGGATGATAAAAATTTGTTAAAATCATAGTAGCCATCCCCAACAAAATTTGAGTACAAATTTCGAAAAAGTCTGTGAATAAATGTGTGAATGCGTGGGTGAATGCGTGGGTGGGATAAAACTTTAAAAAACCACACAGCAGCTTTCTCAAAAAAATTTGCAACATTTTTGTACCAATTTCGTAAAAATATTGGTCCATAAATGCGCACGCGCGTGGATGAATGCGTGGGTGGAGGTGTAACAATTGAAAAAACCACATCGTCGCCATCTTCAAAAAATTTGCAACATTTTGGTACCAATTTTAAAAAAATCGGTTTATAAATATACGATTGCGTGGGTGGGTGCGTGGGTGGAGGCGTAAACTTAAAAAAATAAAACACCAGCTTTGTCAGAAAAATTTGCAACATTTTGGTACTAATTTCGTGAAAATTGGTCATAAATGCGCATGCGCGTGGGTGGGTGCGTGGGTGGAGGTGTAACACTTGAAAAAACCGCATCGTCGCCATCTCCAAAAAATTTGCAACATTTTTGTACCAATTTCGTAAAAATATTGGTCCATAAATGCGCACGCGCGTGGATGATTGCGTGGGTGGAGGCGTAAACTTAAAAAAATAAAACACCAGTTTCCTCAGAAAAATTTGCAACATTTTGGTACTAATTTCGTGAAAATTGGTCCATAAATGCGCATGCGTGTGGGTGGATGCGTGGGTGGATGCGTGGGTGGAGGTGTTACACTTAAAAAAACCGCATCGTCGCTATCTCCAAAAATTTTGCAACATTTTGATACCATGTGTTCAGAAATATTGCAAAAAAAAAATTTTTTCGCAAAAACATACCCTCCTCTGAAGAAAAAAAATAAAAATAAAAAAATTAAAAAAAAAACCCACAGCAGCCACCCCCGAAAAATTTGCAACATTTTGGTACCAATTTCGAGACAATCGGTCCACAAATGCGGAAGTAGTTCGGGCACAGACAGACAGACAGACAGACGGACGGTGCTTATATATATAGATTAAATTAATCCCTCTCTCTCTTTCTCTCTCTCTCTCTCTCTCTCTCCCTCCTCAATATTATATATAATAATATAATATTATAAATAAATATTATGTAATATAATCATTTTTTGCAGTAAAACAGAAAGCTCGATGGGCAAGAGCCGGAAGAGGTACCAATTTAAAAAAAATCGGTTCATAAATATACGATTGCGTGGGTGGGTGCGTGGGTGGAGGGGTAAACTTAAAAAAATAAACCAGTAGTTTTCTCAAAAAAATTTGCAACATTTTGGTACTAATTTCGTGAAAATTGGTCCATAAATGCGCATGCGCGTGGGTGGATGCGTGGGTGGGTGCGTGGGTGGGGGTGTAACACTTAAAAAAACCGCATCGTCGTTATCTCCAAAAAAATTTGCAACATTTTGATACCATGTGTTCAGAAATATTGCAAAAAAAGATTAAACATACCCTCCTCTGTAGAAAAAAAAAAAAATTAAAAAATTAAAAAAAAAACCCCACAGCAGCCACCCCCAAAAAATTTGCAACATTTTGGTACCAGTTTCACGAATATCGGTCCACAAATGCGGAAGTAGTTCGCGTACATACATACAGACAGACGGTGCTTATATATATAGATATATATAATATATATCATATATATATTATATATATATATATATATACATCTTATATATATATATTATATATTTGTATATATATATACATATATATATATATATATATATATATATATAATTCATAGAAATTTTATGTTTAATAGAGTATCCTACATAGATAAACTACATAAATTAATCTATTGTCAAAAAATAAATATCTTTTCCTTTTGGCAAAAAATTGAAAAAAATGCATTATTTCCAAAATATCTTTGTTTTTTTAATACAGTTTATTTGTTGATTCTTCATGTAAAAGTTTTAATAATTCGAACATATTAAAAAAAATATATTTATATTTTTGACAAGGAGACACTTGTATCAGTCTGCATCTTATATAAAGAGAATACTCTCTATACTTATATAAAGAATATCTCTGGATACATTATAATAATTAAGTATGTACATACATATATACAAAAGTGATTTAAACAAGTTAAACATTTTTATATTTATTAGACTTTAGACTATATAAGTATATTATATAAGTCTCTCTACGTTGTTTGACCAAATTAAATATGCTACATGAGTATAAATTTATCATTTTTCAAAGCATCATAATTTTTGTTTTATGTGTTAATACCTGTAATCCCAAAATTTTAATTCCAACGGAGACAGAGAAATATGCGCCCTTGAATAGGTATTACCACGAAAATTGCCTAACCAAACATCATATCCCTGATCCGCTAATAGATAAGCTAGAATGCAAAAGACATTGTTTGCAAAATTTATTAGATAACTTAAATCTGCTTATATATACATATATATATATATATATATATATATATAATATTTTCTTACATAAAATCATATTTTTCCTTATTGTTAGTATTTTTAATAATTATAAATTAGGATTACAAACTGTATTTTGATTGCAGTTTGTTTATTATTATCTGATAAGTTAAATAAACAATTCTAAATAAATAATATATATAATATAAATTATTATATAAAAATATATATTAACTTTAATTTTTAATTTAAATATAATAAACTTTAACACAATTTTTAACAAATAAGATAAATTAAAATTTGTGTTACAATTTACTATACAATTAAAATAAAAGTTGCATAAAAAGTTTTTTTTATAAGTTTGTTATTTAAATTCGAGATTTTTCTAGGCATTTTTCCAATAGAGCATTAAAAATATGATACAATTAAGAAATTATAACAAGATTTTTAATTTTAAAAATTTAAATTTCTACGGATTAATAAGAGTCAAAGGCAATTGATAGTGTGTCTGTTTTAATAAAAATAAATTTTTATTGATATTTATTAAAATAATTCATAAAAATAAATAAATCTCGAATTGAGATTACTTGATGTTACGCTAAAAGAAATTTATGTCTCTTGCACAACAAATCAGTTTCAGTGAAAAATTAATTTTTATTGAATCCGATGCAGTATCATCCTTGTTTGGCTCTTACTAGTCCGTTGGAATTTAAGTTTCTATATCAAAAATATAATTTTGAAATATTTGTAGGATTGATTAAAGAGTTGTACACACCGAGTGCTTTCCCTTTGCCAAGAAGGATCCAATCGGCGGAGGTGCATAACAAAGCGTGTTGCAATAATACAGGTGGAGAGTCATTGTTACCTGGAATACGATGTAACGTCAAGAGATAACCATCCTCCGTCGTTATGACATGAGTTTCTGCAGGATAACCCTCTTTTCTTATCATTTTCACCTAGAAGAATCAAGAATCAGAAAAAAATGCACAGTTGAAATAAAATGCGAAAAACTGCGTATTCTATTTATTAAAAAAAAATAGAGCAAATTTCTCAAACAATTTAAATATAAAGAATGCATTAATAATAATTTTGCTTAATTTTGCATTACCCATAAATATCTAATTAATATGAAGAATATATGTTACAAGGTCAGAATGAAGTCAAATAGAGGTACTAATTTTTTAATTAAACATATATGATGTGATTTTTAGAAATTATAAAGCGGGATTTCTTCGACTGATAAAAGTGTGAGAAAAGCTCGATAGAATTATGTATTATAGGATTATTTCAGTAATAAATTTTAATACATTAAATTATTTTTTGTTATCTTTTGAATCAGTTAAAATGATTTTAATGACTATGTTACAATTATAATAAATATTTATTTTTATACAAATTTTTAATCAGACTAAAATTAATATTATTGATATAATAAAAAATTGTATATATATGTATTATATTTATTATATGTTTCAAAATAAAACAAAGATTATTTAATATCAAATAAATAATACTAACAATTGAATCGGATATTTAAATTGACTTAACAAAACAAAAAGAAGAAGATAATAATATTATTATACATAAATGTGATTAATAGAAATATGTAATTTAAATTCCAATTTCGATATCTAAATAAAAGTGCAGCATAATATATAAGATCATTTTCGACCATTTTCTGAAAAAATTAATCTAATTACAATAATAAATATTTTAATTTCTAATATTTTATAATTAAAATAATAAGAATATCAATTTTTTTATTAGTTTGTAATAAGTAAAAACAAATGTTTACCGTGTCGAAAGCGTCATCGGGATTGAATTTAAAATCTCTGGACTGTTCCCAGTTGATCCACGATATTTTTTCGGCATATGTATGTTGCTGACTTTTTACGTTTGTTACTGTATTGGATAAACTGCAGAATAATGCCAGATACACGACTAATCTCATTGTGTCGATGACAGAGATTGATTTAATAAACTGCAATAAAAAAACTGACAAGTTTTCCTATCGGGATATATGTAAGTATATTACTAAAAAAATAAAGCAGAACATGCAAGTAATAGTTTAATATGAGGCAATTATTTTTTACGCACTATATTTATTGTTAGAATGAATTAGCCTTTCGATTGATTTTTATTAATCTGCATAAAGAAATGGACCAAAAATTAAAGTAAACTAGAAAAAATATTAAAGTAGGCTAGGTTGAACTCCTGTTTTCTTTTTGAAGCAGAATATGTGTATATATATTTCTATGGAAAAAAATCTACATCAATATCTTTAAAAACAATAAATACAAAATTCTAATTAAATTGCCAGCAATTATGAAGTATATTAATTAATTATGCATTCGCAACTATCGCCAAGCATTTAAAAGCAAAAAATCTTGAAAACATTATGCAACGATTCCATAATTAGATTGTTGCAATACCAGTTTATATCATAACCATTGTAAGAAAAAAAAATTTACAAACACATTAATCATTCTATTCTCATTGTGTGTTAATCAATCCCGGTAAAAAATTTTTATATATAATTATATATATATAATCGTAAAATTATATGTAAAATATATGTTCATGTTTATACATAATTATATAAATTTAATATATAAATAATATATAAATATAAATAATTATATAAATATAATAATATAATTATTTATAAATTATAAGGGTTCATATATAATTATGTCAAATTATATATAAAACATATATATATATATATATATATATATATATATATATTTATATATATGAAGAAATACTTATTATATATGTATATATATATATATATATATATATATATATATATATCAATTTTTATAATTATATATAAAAAGCATTTTTATCTAATTATGTACATAGACATATTTCATATAAAATTTTGCGATTATATGTATTTTTCTATATAATTTTATATTTGTTATACATAAAAAAATTTTTACAAGAATTTTATAATGTCACTATTTAAATTTTAATTTTGTGTTTTTTAATATAATTAGATTGAGAATTATTTTTTATAAGTAGCAACATAGAAATTGCATTTATAAATTTTTGTTCTCTCAAATTTTTCTGCATTTGAACTGTGATTAAAGTGTCACACACACACACACAATAAATGTTTTACAATAATATTTTATTTAATGAGATTACAGACATTAATATTAATCTTAATTAATCTCTAATTTTTTTCCTAATTCTTTTAATTCTGTTTTTTTTTTTTGATTTTCCAGAAGATTCGTTTTTTCTTTTTAGACTTTATTAAATGTTTTTTTCAGAAAGGGATAAAACAACTCAAATAGCACATGTTAATCTCATAATTTTTCACTGTGCCTAATTGTTTTATAATAAACTGTCCAAAACACTAATCAGAAACGTATCGACACAAATGTTTATAAAGTCATAATTCCACAAACGTATTTTTACATTTCTACAGACAACAAAAATTTATTTTTTTAAATGTATTTATTTTTCTTTAAACTACTTTTTTTTTAAATTCTATATATAAAGTTTTTCATAAAATTTGGAATTTTTTACAATAATAATCTGAATATTTCAAAATTTAAAAATTTATATGTAGAAAATATGTATATTTAAATATATTTTAACATTTTTAAAACATATTTTATATAAAAAAAATTGTGCAAAAAGAAATTTGCACATTATTACTTTCTCGTCATATTATTTTGCTGATTAGGATGACTTTTCAATTATGACTTTCTCATAAAGGAAACTTAACTTGCACATTGCTTGATTACATTGAATTTAATTTCCTCTATGAAGAAGCCATAATTGAAAAATTATTCTAATTAGCGAAATAATATGGTGCGGAAGCAATGTGCAAATTTCCGTTTGCACAATTTTTTAATTCTATGTACAAAGCTTGACTTACATGCAATTAAGCTAAATCAGTCAATCAATCAATTAATCAATCTCTCTCTTTTGTCATCAGCGTTGAACTTAGATAATTTTAAAATTAGCTAGATAAAGATGAGATGAAAATATGTAAATTTATCTTAGATCAAATAAAGATAATTTTGTATTAAATGTACCTAGATAAATAAGGTAAAATTATACAATGATTCATCTAGATAACTTCTAGATAATGTTATTTTTAAGACCGTTTATAAACACAGTTAAAAATGTAAAAAGAAATATAAAATGAGATTCTTATTTTTATTTCTGAATTATTATTGCTTAAGTTCTACTAATTATGTATTTTCATGTACTATGATTCTAAATTAAATTATCTAAACATTATTCTAGATAATTTCGTGAAGACAATATTTTTTTTTCCAAAATTCAAATAAAAATATAGATAATACATATGATTAATATCTATATAAAAATAAGATGACGCCAAAATTTTATCTAGTTGATTTCATTTATATAATTTTATTCTTTAATTACTTACCACAATATCAATTACGCCGTTGCGTAAAACTATTTGATATTTTCGTGATAGATATCCTGATGTATCGGTGGTAGATCGATGAATTGTATATCAATAGATTTATAATATCTCGCGACCGTAATCACATAACAAAACTTAGCAGACCGGTATACGTCAATGAAATGCAGAATTGTCTTCGCTGAAACGTCGGTTAAATCGTGATTCTGGGTTATAGTAGTAGAGTGGTGGATGGTGGTAGTGGAGTCTAAACAGAAAAGGAGCACATACAAAGTTCAATTTCAAGTATTCTGACGTTTAAACGACGGGCAATCGTGCAGATCGAAGATTTAATCAAGGTTACATTTCTGTTTGTTACTGCGATCGAAAAATTTAGTATCCTTGATGTAATCTATATTTATAATTCTATATACAATTATAATGAAAGGTATTCGAAAGTAACGAATTCTTACTATATGCTGCCGATTTAAAAATCTTTCGTTGAGTAAATAACTTAATGACGCAAGATTGATGCGGCAGGATCTTTTTTGCTTGGTGATTAAAGTAAGCGAAACAAAAATTACAGTTCAATCTGCCTAAATTAATGTTACATGAGAAATCTGAGAAAAAACTATTTTACTTTTGAGCATGACTACTTCTGAAGTGGAGCCTCTTTCTTAATAATTGCTTCGATGAATGATCTTGGCGTAACTTTTTGCTGAAACTTGTCTTTTGAAATGGATGTTTTAAATATTGTAAATCAATTATTTAAAGAATTTGGTGTCGTCATACGTTTGTGTAGATACTCCAAGAAAATTGAGAATTTTATACTGTACATCAATTACATGGTTTGCTATTATATAAATAAAATTATGTAGATAATTATCTAGATAAAATTATAACATCTTATCTTTATATATAAACAATAAAAAATAAATAATAAATAAATAAGTAGATCTATTAATAAATAAATATGTAAAAATCTTGAATAAAATAATAACTAATAATAAATTGTAATTAATTAATTAATTATAATTAATTTATTATTAATTTTATAATCTTAAAAAATATTTAACCACAAGATTATTATATCATTATTTTAATTCAAATCTTAGATTCTTTATGCTCACAATAACTTAGTTTACGTTGTACTATTTTTCTAAAATGATTTAAATTTGAGTAACTATTAGTTTTAATTAATTATTAAATAAATCAATGGAATCATTTATGATAAATATTTCTTTTTTATCAAAAGTCGAGAGTGAAAAATTAGATAGTATAATCGTTATATTTAATCCATCGCCATTTTTAATTTCTAATTAAATAAATAACTATTATACGTATATTATATAAATGTTAAAATCAGTTACCTAAATAAAAGTTAAAATCAGGAAAGCCAAATTTAAACCGGTTTTGGCATAATATATTTTTTATTTTATATTTAGTACGGTATCTAGAAAACTGGAATGCAAAATATAAGAATTGGCGAATAACGATAAACTGATATACATATATTACACGTATTTTCATTTTTCAATTATTTCTTTGTACTGTAAAGATAACAAATATATTTGTTGATAAATACGTGGATTAAATAAAATTATTCTTACATATGTATAATCGATTCATTGTTATTCAGAAGAAATTTTTATATCCACTAATCAATCAGTTCTTTAATAGTATTTTTAATAATATTATATATATATATATATATATATTTAATAGTATTCTTAAAAATGTAATGACTTTTTATTTAAGAATTAATAGAAGTTCAGTAAAGGTTTATCAAATTTTTCTTGTTTTCTTTACATATATGTAAATGTTATATATACTTGAATAATTTTGCAATAGTAGATGATAGTGTGCGTGTATGAGTTTCTATGCAAAATTATTACCGACTCGTCGTCCTCGGTAGTTTTATCTCTTCCTTCGTAGAGATACATTCTTCTCTATTTTCGGAATATAAAATCAAAGCCGGATATAGTGATATAGTATACGTTTTAGTGAATCTAGCGAGATAATTAAAAATCAATTGTGTCTACGTTAATGGTGTTAGAATAAAATCACATCAATCTGTCGAGATTCTGTTGCAAAACATAAAAAGAAAAAGATAATTTAATTTTATTACATGTGTATATTTTGCATTTAACATCTTTCTTCCACACAATTAATATAAAAACTAAAGTATGCATAAAAATATAGAATATTTTAATTATTAAAAATTCGAAATCTATTTGAGAACTGATGAATGCTGATAAGTTTAATCGATTTAATTGTTCTAAAATATATCTTTATATAAAATAATGTGTCAAAAAAATTTCGCGATTTTGTGTTGCGGACTTTTTGTTTTCATCATTTTGTCATCAAAATCTCAGCAAAGTTCTATTGATAACAAAGAGAAAGATGATAATTCGACGGTACGAAACAAGAAAGATGCGGATTCTACAACAATCAGTAGGAATAGAATGAAAATACTGCGATACAATTTGTGTGAAAATAAGTTTGCCAACAATTCTCAATATGTATACGTTTATGAGGATGATGATCAAATACAGATAAACTCGCACACCAATTCGACAAATGTCGATCATAAAAGAAAATTTACGCCACAGGAAAGTTATGAAAAATTTATCGGAAGGAATAATTCCGTGTCAAATGGTGTCTTTGAAAATTGCAAAGATAGTAAAGAAATTAACATCGTTCCATACGAAATATGCCATAATATTACTTGCATTCTGCTCTGTTGTCCTCTTGGTAACAGTCTGAGTTTAAATAACAGCAAATGCATTTCGGAAGAAATTAAATACCGTCTTCCGAATGTGTACAAATCCACAAACGATTTAATGGAGAATGAGAAGAAGAAAATGGACGCATTGTTTCAGTTTGCCGTCCATGATTCGTGCTTGGAAACGCAATGTTTCAATGTACATAAGAATCGTCAATACGATTACAAGATTTTTATCAATGGTTCCATTTATTTATCTCATTCTAAAACATTATTTAAATCAACTTCATATTGTCTTGCTGTCATCTCGGAAATGGGAAATGAGTTTGAAGTGATTTACTGCTCAAAAATTTCTAATCAAGTCGAGAGAGACGAGATAAAGAACATACCAGCGACTCGCTCGGAAAATCGTTTATTTAAGATGTATAAGAACTTGAATTTAATACGTTTATTATTTTTGGTGCCAATATTTCTAGTGTATTCCATATTGCCAGAACTTCGAAATGTATATGGCTTTACGTTGTGCAATTACAGCTTTGCTTCATCCGTCGCAGTCATAATTCAAGCTGTGAAATATATATATATATATGAAGTGGAAATACCATATCCCGTCTGTATTACACTTGGTATAGTATATCAAACAATAAATTATATACAAACAATTATAACTACATGCAATCAATGTAGGGTACATACTTGTCAAGCATAATGTATATTCGCATATTTTTTAATCTTTTTAATAATTTAAATGTATAACTTTTCAAAAATATAACGATTATTAATGAAATAAAATTAAAATTTAATGCTTTTTAACAATCTGAGTTCGTTACAACAAATGTATATATACAAATATATATATATATATATATATATATATATACATGTGTATATATACATATATGTATGCCTATACAATATTGAGTTTTAGAATTTTTAGTGTTCTGCCTCTCTTGAAATACCATTTAATTTAATATCGATATAGTATCAATAGTATTCATAAAATATTATTATAAATTTTAATGCGGGATGTAGAGTAAATCTATTTTTAAATGGTGTATCAGAGAAACTTGCGAGTTACTCCATTTTAACGCGCTCTCAGTAATTAAAATATTATTTATTATTATAGCTTTTATTTTTATTCATTTTTCAGCTTTTTTCAATTATTTTTTTTCTATATCGGGTCACTTCTGGCTAAGTACCATGAGCTTTAATATGTGGTGGACATTCAGGTAAATGGGCAAGTATTTAACATTTTATTTTACGTTTGACTTGCCCCTAATTTTCATTTGACTTTACGGAATTATGTTATAATATGAAATAAAACAAATATTTTGTTTCCCTATCTATATTTTTTGAAATTAAAAATGGCATATTAGATAATAAGCACAACATTATTAATTTATAAAATATTTATAAAATATTTCAACGCAGTTTAATTCTGATTAATGTATCCAATTTTTCTTTAATGTTTTTCACATTATACGAGCGTAATATTTATATCGCGTTGATCTTTCTTTTTTATGTATAAAATAGGCAATACATAATAATTTTTAACATAAATACTTTTTGTCTCTAGAATCTAAATAAAAATTTAGATTATCTTATTAAAATATTTATGTAAATATGTAACAGTTTATAAATATAATACACTGTCATACTATTTACTATTTCTCATGGTAATTGAGTGAGGTTTTCTAGAATTTGCTTTGATCAAAAACAAACATTAATTTAACTCTATTACATTTTTTTTATCTATATTTACAATTAATTAAATACGACATATAAATTGCAGAGGATTCTGTTCGTTACAAAAAAATGTCAATCGGAAAAGACAAACGGAAAAAAAGAAGTTACTGTATTATGGGATTTTTGCGTATGGTTGTCCATTTATACTTGGTGTTGTTTGTGTCATCGTCGTGGAATTTATTTCCAAGTATATACCAAAAAAATTGAGACCTAAATTTGAAATAAAAAATTGTTGGTATTGTAATAAATGTATGTCTCAGATAAGTCTATTAATGCTATAAAATTTTATGACAAGAATATAAATAATATAAATAATAATAATAATAATAATAATAATAAATAATCATAATAATAATAAGTATATTTTTTCAGTTCTAAACGTGTTGTATTATTCCTGGATCAAAGCTGTCTGTATCTTTAGTAGTGTCTGCTTATCCATTTCTACGGTATTAAATATTAAACGATTTGAAAAAAGTACAAACTTTCGTCTAACAGATTCAGAAAGCAAACGGTATAATGACAATAAAAAATGGCGAGTATTCTGACATGTTTTGTATTTTATTTGACATTTGAAACAATACACACGTGCACATTTTTTTTTATCTTTCTTTTTTCTTTCTGACATGTAATTACATAATCGATAATTTATAAAAGAAAAAAAAACATTCATTGCAGTAACTTGAATTGTGTCTTTCCGAGAAAGTCTGTGATACGAGAAAGTCTCTTATGTCGCAAATAATGATAATAAAGTTAACGAATATACATTTATTTCTAAAAGAACATTACATTTTTGAAGACTTTCTATAAACAACTATTTCTTTTCCCCCTTTTAGGTTCGTAATTTATTCCATTATTTTTCAATTCAATTATTTGATACAAAATTTATTTTTATTGAAAAATTTACTAAATATTTATATATGAATATATATATTTATACATTTTTAGGTTTAATTTATATATGAAGTTATTTATCGTGATATTTATCATATTGAGCCTAAATTGGTCTGTGCATATAATGTCATGGTTTTTTGGAACAAAGAAAAAATATTACTTTATATATGTTTTGTTTGATATTGTGCAAAGTTTCTGCACCTTTGTCATCTTTGTATGGAAAAAGAAGATCAAGCTGATGTTACTGAAACGATTCGGATACGAGACGAAGGCAAGATCGACTAACATCGACTTAAATATCACAACTGTGGAGTCTATGCACGAACAGTCGAACTCTTGCGGGGAAGAAAATGATCACGCGAAAGACTCTTCCCAAGAGATTGAAATCTAATATTGTAATAATACATGTGTAAAAATATTTTATTGCAATTTATGAATAAACGATTAATCGCAATTTAATATCCGTGTTATATGACAGGTGCTCGATTATGATCGTAACGCACAACGCGAATCAAGACAGCCAATCAGCATCGTGGAAAATGATAAAAATGTCAACAACATGCTTTTTTATAGAAAACTAGCAGACTGGCATACAAGTTATTCTACTTAATAAATATAATAAAATCTACGTAATATATATATATAAAGTTCATTTATAAAAATTCATGAAATTCATTTATAAAAATATTTTATTTAAATATTTTGATCTCAGCTATATATAGACAATAAATATATGTATTAACTATGTATTATATATATATATTTAATAGTATACTTAAAAATATAATAGGTTTTCATTTAAGAGTCAATAGCTCAGTAGAAGTTCCGCAAACGTCTTTTTTGTTTTCTTTATGTAAGTAAATTATATATGTATAATTTTGTAGTAGTAGGCAGATAGTGTGCGCGTATGTGTTTCCATGCAAAGTTATCGCCGACTCGTCGTCCTCGGTAGTTTCATCTCTTCTTTCGTGGAGATACATTCTTCTTTATTTTTAGAAAAAGACATCAAAGCCGGATATAGTGAAATAGTATATGTTTTAATGAATTTAAGAGATAAATAAAATTAATAGCGTCTACGTTAATGGTGTTAGAATAAAATTACATCAATTTCTCGAGATTCTGTTGCAAAACATTAAAAAAAAAAATTTAATTTTATTACACGTGTATATTTTGCATTTAATATCTTTTTTTCACACAATTAATATAAAAACTAAAGTATGCATAAAAATATAGAATATTTTAATTATTGAAGATTTAAAATCTATGTGAGAACTGTAGAATGCTGATAAGTTTAATCGATTTAATTATTTAATTATTCTAAAGCATATTCTTATATAAAATAATGTGTCTAAAAAGTTTTGCGTTTTTGTGTTGCGGACTTTTTTTTCTCATCATTTCGTCATCAAAATCTCAGCAAAATTCCAACAATAACAAAAGAAAGATGATAATTCGACAGTACGAAACGCGGATTCTGCAACAATCAGCAGCGACAAAATGAAAACACTGCTATATGATTTGTGTGAAAATAAATTTGCCAACAATTCTCAATATGTTTACAATTATGAAGATGATGACCAAATACAAAAAAACTCGCACATCAATTCGACAAATGTTAATCATAAAGGAAATTTTACGTCACAGGAAAGTTATAAAAAGTTGATCGGAAAGAACAATTCTGTGTCAAATGGTGTCTTTGAAAATTGCAAAGATAGAAAAAAAATTAACATCGTTCCATACGAAATGTGCAATAATATCACTTGCATTTTGCTCTGCTGTCCACTTGGCAACAGCCTGAGTTTGAATGACAGCAAATGCATTCCGGAAGAAATTAAATACCGTCTTCCAAATGTGTACGAATCCACAAACGATTCAATGGAGAACGAAAAGAAGAAATTGGACAAATTGTTTCAGTTTGCCGTCCATGATTCGTGTTTAGAAACGCAACGTTTCAAAGTACATAAGAATCATCAATACGATTATAAGATCTTTATCAATGGTTCCATCTATTTATCTCATTCTAAAACATTATTTAAATCAACTTCATATTGTCTTGCTGTCATCTCGGAAAGTGGAAATGAGTTTGAAGTGACTTATTGCTCGGAAACTTTTAATCAAGTTTTGAGGGACGAGATAAAGAACATACCAGCGGTTTTCTCGGAAAATCGATTTTTTAAGATATATAAGATCTTGAATTTAATGCGTTTATTATTTTTGGTGCCAATATTTTTAGTGTATTCCATATTGCCAGAACTTCGAAATGTATATGGTTTTACGTTGTGCAATTACAGCTTTGCTTCATCCGTTGCAGTCATAATTCAAGCTGTGAAATATATATATATATATGAAGTGGAAATACCATATCCCGTCTGTATTACACTTGGTACAGTATATCAAATAATAAATTATATATATAACTATATGCAATCAATGTAGGGTACATGCTTGTCGAGCATAATGTATATTCGCATATTTTTAATTTTTTTAAATAGTTTAAATATAAAAAATATCATATATTATTCTTAAATATAAAACTTTTCAAGAATATAATGATTAATAATGAAATAAAATTAAAATGTAATGCACTTAAATTTAATTAATTCGTCGTAATATATACATATATATATATATATATATATATATATATATATATTTGTACAATATTAAGTTTTAAAATTTTAGCGTTATGCCTTGAAATACTATTTAATTTAATATCGTCTGTATCAGTATTCATAAAATATTGTTATAAATTTTAATGCGGGATGTGGAGTAAATTTATTTTTAAATGGTGTATCAAAAAAACTTGCGAGTTCCTCCCAGTTAACGCGCTCTCAGTGATTAAAATATTATTTATTATTATAGCTTTTATTTTTATTTATTTTTCAGCCTTCTTCAATTATTTTTTTTCTATATCGAGTTTCTTCTGGCTAAGTACCGTAAGCTTTACAATGTGGAGGAAATTCAGGTAAATTGTCAATTTTTTATATTGTTCTTTATATTTGACTTGTCTTTAATTTTTATTTGTCTTTACAGAATTATGTTATAGTATCAAACAAAACAAATATATTTTGTTTTGATAATGTAAATTTTTTGAAATTAAAAATGGCATATTAAATAATAAACACTACATTATTAATTTTTAAAGTATTTATAAAACATTAATAGTAAATTAAGGTTCGATATTTTGAAGTAACTGAATATTTGACTAGCTATGAGAGCCGACCACGGATGTATGTGCGTGAAGAACCGCGAAATTAAATGTTTTGCTGTCTTATGAATGTGCACGAAATTCGTTTAGCACATACTAAGACTTATTTAGGAAATTCTCATATTTGAGATATTAATTCCTAGGTTCCCCTCTTTTATCTTCCTGATGCGATATAGCCGAGAAAAATTAATCGGCCCGAAAAGTCAGCTGAATCAGGAATCGAACCCGAGTCTTTTGCTTGCCGGGCAGATGCTTTTACCACTGAGCTAGCAACCTTGACGAACCAATACATTTCTCTCGCGTATATGTATACTCATAACGCCTGTTTTTAGTCGGCGTGAATTAATAATAAAATACGCCTTGATAATTTGAAATAACTGAAAATTTGACTGATTACAAGAGCCATACCTATACATCCGCGATCGGTTCTATATAACAATTTCTAAAAATTATACACTGTTATACTATTTCTCATGGTAATTGAGTGAGATTTTTGAGAAATGCATTAATTAAAAACAAATATTAATTTAACTTTTTTACATTGAGATTTCTTTTATCTATACTTAGTTAAATATGACATACAAATTGCAGAGAATTCTGTTTGTTACAAAAAAATGTCAATCGGAAAAGACTATCGGAAAAAAAGAAGTTACTGTATTATGTGATTTTTGCATACGGTTGCCCATTTATACTTGGTATTGTTTGTGTCATCGTCGTGAATTTTGTTTCCACGTATATACCAAAAAATGTGAGACCAGAATTTGAAATAGGAAATTGTTGGTATCGTAATAAACGTATGTCTCAGATAAGTCTATTAATGCTATGGAATTTTAAAAGTGTATGAAACAGTATAAAATTATATGACAATAATAATAATAATAAAAATGACAAAAATATAAATAATATTAATAATAATAATAGTAATAATAATAAATAAGCATAATAATAATAAGTTTACTCTTTCAGTTCTAAACGTGTTGTATTATTCCTGGATCAAAGCTGTCTGTATCTTAAGTAGCGTTTGCTTATCCATTTCTACGGTATTGAATATTAAACGCTTTGAAAAAAATACAGACTTTCGTCTAACAGATTCAGAAAGCAAACGGTATAATGACAATAAAAAATGGCGAGTATTTTGACATGTTTTGCATTTTATTTGACATTTGAAACAATACACATGTGCACATTCTTTTCTATTTTATTTTCTTTTTTCTTTCTGACATGTAATTACATTAATCTATAAGAGAAGACAAACATTTATTCCTGTAACTTGAATTGTGTCTCTCCGAGAAAGTCTGTGATACGAGAAGGTCTCTAATGTCGCAAATAGTGATAATGAAATAAACGAATATACATTTATTTCATAAAGAAAATTACATTTAAAAAAAATTTTTTAAACAACTATTTCTTTTTCCTTCTTTTTGGGATTGTAATTTATTCCATTATATTTCAAAGTAATTATTTGATAGTGAATTTATTTTTATTGAAAGATGACTAAATATTAATATATGTATATATATATTTTTTCAGGTTTAATCTATATATGCAGTTATTTATCGTGATATTTATCATATTGGGCCTAAATTGGTTTGTGCATATAATGTCATGGTCGTTTGGAACTAAGAAAAAATATTACTTTATTTATGTTTTGTTCGATATTGTGCAGAGTTTCTGCATCTTTGTCATATTTGTATGGAAAAAGAAGATCAAGTTGATGTTACTGAAACGATTCGGATACGAGACAAAGGCAAGATCGACTGACATCGACTTGAATAATACATATGTGGAGTCTATGCACGAATTGTAGAACTTTTGCGGAGAAGAAAATTGTCACGCGAAAGATTCGTCCCAAGAGATTGAAATCTATTATTGTAATATGTAAAAAAAGTTTCATCGCAGTTCATGAACAAACGATTACTCGCAATTTAATATTCTAGACAAAACAAACGCGCACTGCGCCTGTCATTATACGCGTCATTTATTTTGTATTTTGTGTATGCAATTAAACGTTTTAATAATTGTAATTTTATTTAATTTTATTTTGCCAAATGTCAAGTTGTTATATGGCAGTTGCTTGATTATGATTATAGCCAATCAGCATCGTGGAAAAGTGACAAAAATGTCAACAATGTGCCTTTTTTAAATAGAAAACTATGATCTATTCATATAAAAATATTTATTTTGATATCTTATATACAATTTACGAAAGTTAGAACAACCATACATTTTTTTTAAGAAACTGAAAATTATGTAAAAATTAAACTTTTTATCCGCATATACTTTGCTATGATGCACTTAGGACAATACTGTAACAAGAAAAATGTTTTCATATGTTCATTTTGGCTTTGGTCAATAGTTTGATATTTGAAACTCTTATTTTAATGCAGCGGCATTTAGATTTCAACTGGTTAGGTTTGTTATTAATTTTCTGACTCTGTTATGCGCTATCATCTATAATTCTTTTTAACTAACATTCTATGTAAAATGAAGATGGTCTAAAATATATCGAAATGTTTGTTTAATAAATAGTTTGTTTAATAAATAGTTTTATTTGATAAATAGTTTGATCAGCACGAAATTCTTGCTGCGGTTCATTTACCCTTTATTATTTTATAATTATGATTTATTTTCGTTTCAGTTTATTGTCAATTGTTTAAAAAAATTTTTTATTATCTATTTTTTTAATATTTTTATTATCAGAACTCTTATTTGGAAGAGCATTGTACATGCCCAGAACTACACGAGGAATGTTGAAGAAAAATCAGAACTGTCATACTAAAATAAGTAGCTCACATTTATATTTCAAAATACGAGTTTTTCGGAAATAATAATTGTTTTAATAACAATTTCGGAAATAATAATGTTTTAATAATTTTCTAATTATATTTGTCATTAGAAATTTTTAGAAGAGTATTGCACTAGCCCAGAATTAATCGAGACCTGTTTAGTAGAAAGCAGAATTGTCGAAATAGTATCAGAAGATCAACATTATATATTCAAGAATACGTGTTTTTCGGATAAAAAATTGATTTAAAAAATTTATTATTCAATATTTCTATAGTACATTGTCTTCACATTAATCTCGTACTAAGAACATGTCAACGTACAAATTATTTTATTTAGTAGACATATTAAAAAATGCTCATTATAATGTTTGCGGAAATTAATTGTCGAATTTTAATAGTTTAAATGAGGTCATAAATATTTTATTCAAATATTTAGATATTATATTGTTTGAAAATTAATTGGGCTCTATAAAAACATGCCAGCGTACAAATTATTTTACTTAAATATAATAGAATTTACGTATAAAGTTCATGAAGAGGAATGCTTGATTTTTAATACTTAAGGATCAATCAAAAATATTTTATTTAAATATTTCGATCTCATCATTATATTGATAATAAATATATGTATTATTTATGTATTATATATGTGTAATTAGTTTTTATGATATAGAATGACACCAAAAATACACAGTATAAACATCACGTTGCAGAACACCCTGTATATTGTCAAGGTCATTGTTTTGATTGTGCGTAGCATTTAATAGATTTCGGATACTGTATAAAATACTACAATAGATTTCGTTTCGCTTTCACTGCAGAAGTGGTGTTAGTGTAACCTTGTCACACATAGATAAATTAATTTATTATTTATTTTTTAATTTTCAAAGATATTTTTAACCACAAATTATACCATTATTTAAATTTTAATCTTAGATTTTTATGCCTCCTATAACTCAGTTTACGTTGTGCTATTTTTATTGTACTATATTTTTTAAAATGATTTAAATTTGAGTAATTATTAGATATTTAGAGATTATGACCAACTATAAAGTAACCGTGTATCATGCTTTATTTCGTTATTGAATAAAAGATTTACATACGCGCCGACTTCACTTGAATCTTTTTCAGTTTAAAATTACAAATTATAAAATATAAAAATATGAAGTTATGAATGATTAACAACGGCATGATAAAAACCAGGGTTGGGAAGTAACGCGTTAATTGTGACGCCGTTGCCGTTACAGTTACTTTTTTTCGGTAATGATTTGGTAACGCCGTTACTTTTTTCTATTTGTAACGAAAAAGTAAGGACGTTATATTTTCTATCGTAACGAGTAACGAAATTGATTCGTTACTTTTATCGTTACTTTTTAATATATTTGCTATTATGGCTGTTCATATTTAGATCTTAATATATAAGATCGGATTTATGATGAATATCTTTTTATGAGAAACAGTGATATATGTCATTGAGTAGAATTCATGTTTAATAGGATTAAGTTTAATATGTATAATTTTATTAATATTATAAGAAAAATATAATAAAAAAGTATATAAAATATAAAAAAATATTTAAAAATTAAAATTTTTATACGCATTTTATGTTCGCCTTATATTACTTAACACTAAGAAAAAAAGTAACGGACAGTAACGATTTTTTAATCATTACTTTTACCATAAGTAACGGTTTAACGAGTTACTTTTTAAAAATAACTTTCCCAATCCTGATAAAAACAAAAAAAGCCAATGAATATTTATTCGTGGTCATATGGAAAAGTATTATAAACCGCACGGCATAGCCTAACAGTATTATCCAGCTTACAATTTTGTCGTTGGAAAGCGCGAAGTTGCTATTTTTAGCTGAGAATCGTCAATTTGTGACCATGTCATTTTAATGATAAAAAGTTTGTACAGAAGTTTCTTTTTTTATAGATAATGTATTTTAAAGTTGTCATAAGCTTTTTCTTGCTGCGGAGTCTAGGACGTGACTTATTATTAGTTATTATTAGTTTTAATTATTTATTAAAGAAATCAATGGAATCGTTTATAATAATAAAAATGTTTTTTTTTTGTTTATAATAATAAAAATATTTTTTAATCGTTTTGTTAATCGTTTATAATAATAAAATTGTTTTTTTTTTCGTCAAAAGTCGAGAGTGAAAAATTAAATATCAACGTCATCTGACCCATTGTTATATTTAATTCCTAATTACATGAATAGTTTATATAAATGTCAAGGTAAAAAAAGTCGAATCTAAACCGGTTTTAAAATAATATTTTGCTTTTATTTTATTTGCTATGGTACCTATAGAAACGAATACGGAATACAAGATTTAGCGATTGACAATGAATTGATATTTTAAATGTAATTTCATTTTTTAATCATTTCTTTTTACTCTAGACTTAAAAAATATATTCGTTGATAAATTCGTGAAATAAATAAAATTATTCTTACAAATGTATTATCGGTTAAGTGTTATTCAAAAGAAATTTTTCTTTCCATAAAACAATCTGTTTTTTTAAGTATTCTAATGTAGTATTATATATACATATTTAATGTTATACTTAAAAATATAATGGCTTTTCATTTAAGAGTCAAATAGTTCAGTAGACGTAATCGCGTTTTCCATATTAGGTGTTATCGTAATATATATCAAATTTGATCAGTATAATAATTATAATTAATAATTATCTGCGTTCATAATCGTTTATTTTAAAAGATTTTATAAATATATGAATAATATAATATGTATGTATATATGTATGCATAAAAATATAATGTAATATTATGTATTAATATATTTTTATACTCAATATTCCACGTTTGTGTCATCGTATGTAAAATATATTTTGGCTATATTTATACACAGTTACAAATATATATTGTACATATTTCATCTGACTCTTAATGGTGCACAGAACCAATACATGTACCTTAAATTTACTTAACACAATTAGCATTAATCTTATAATTTATAATATTATCTAATTTAAGTTATCTAATTGTAGTACCTTATACTTATAATTTAATCTAATTCTTCTATAATATAATGTAATATTTTATTATCTAAAAATTAATTATATTGTTGTTTTGGCAGCTACAGCAGCGTCTTGCGGATAATTTTTTGCCAGGTTTTGGTTCGGTACGTAATGCGTCTCTTCATATTTAGAAAAATATCGGCCTATTTCACTATTTTCTATCCATCCAGTTGTTAAAGTCAGTGAATCTAATTAAAACATAAAAATTAAAAAAATATTTATGATAACTAAGATAAATTAAATAATAAATTCAATAAAATAATAAAAAATACATACAATAATAACAACTAAATTAAATAAAATTAATTAAATTTAAAATTGAGATCGAATAAATATAAAATAAAGTAAAATATTTTTACATTGTGTACAGAAAGATGGATTCATGGACTAAAAAATATAATATGAAATAAAAATAAGACTACAAATATAAATTATATTCATACTTTCTCCCGCGTAACACATTTCGTCTTTTTCAGTCAGAATTAGATAATTTGTTTGTTGTTTGATTGCACTAAAATTACTATAGATCTTCAATGGTAAAATTTGATCAAATATTTTGTTTGAGTCAAAGTAAATATTATTTCTATCCATATATCTGCACCATCCGATTATTACTCCCTTAAAACATTTGAGTGTAGGTTGATTACAATTTACGATCATTCCAACCGCAAATTTTTCTTCTGATCTTGTATTTATTGATTGTTCTGTATTTTGAATACAAAAACTAACCTGGAAAAGAACATTAGATTTTAATTGCTATTTGTCGTTAATTATAATCTCTAGATATAGACTTTTAGCAAGTATCAGTACAACCAATTATATTACAGATAATTATAATTTATATTTATAAATGTATATGTGTTATCGGAGAAAAATTTCAAAGATAACTTTTTATCGTTTATACTTATTATATATTAATGTGTGTGTATAAGCATGAATAATGCTGACGTACCATATTTTCATTCGTAAAGTGGTGTAACATGTTCATTTCACGCGGCATGATCGTCAAAGTTTTATTATACCAGTTCTTCATATTCACAAGTATTTCCAGCATATCTTGCATCATCTGAAAAAGGAAAAATTGTGAATATAGTGTCCGGATTACAAAGTGAGTAAATTATTATAAATATATACATGTAACATATTTCGTAAATTATTAAATTGCAAATTAAATAATATAATAAATATATCTGACGATTATCTAGTAAATTTTTTACTTAGAATTATTTTTTAAAACATTTCACGGAAATAATTTTTATTTAAAAAAGAAATTGTTATATAAAAATATCTAAAACTCTAAAGACCTATAATCATAAGATTAAGATTGAAATTTTAAAAATTACAAATATACTTAAGTTGAGATTTTGTATTAGTTTTTTATATTTTTACATTACATTATCGAAAATAAAATAAAAATACTCGTCCACTAAATATATATTTGCCAAAAATTTAATAGACATATTTACTAACCTCTTCAGCTGGAATAGTTAAAATGGATTCGTGTGCTGGATACAACATTCTGCATAATGACAATTTATTGTGAATACAATCCGGAAATTTGGCAGATATTATATTGAAACATCTTGCATTTTCTAAGCCAATAGTAGTACTGTAAACAATAATCAATATACATATGTGTATGTTTATATATGAATGTATAAAAAGAGA